GTTAGTCCTTGCTCTCTGGTAACTGTTGCTGGAGTCTAGCTTAGTGGCTCAAAGTGAGGATGAAAAGAGGAATTTGTTTATACTGTACTCTATCATGAAACCCATGGCAACCATCAGTCTCATTGAATCCTGATGGTTTCCATGGCAGCTGTTAAGATTGGTCACTGCCCTCTCTTTTATTTCTCTTCATTTTACCACAATGAGTATGATGGCACACTCAAACATTCAACCTGTTCTTTACATCAAAGTGCAGACTTTAAATTTAAAAAAGCAAATTGCAAGTTTTTTTATTACAATTCCCTGTCCCGTCCGCTCCTGGTGACATTTTTTTTCTTCCCCGCCTCAATCCCATGATACATAGTGATTTTGTTTCCCATCCCGAAAAAATGTCAGCCTCTATGTAGACATTTCAAATAATACTAAACACATGCATAAAACTGTATGACAGTTGTTCAAACCCACTGTAAAATCTAATACTGTTCTTACTAAGAATTTTTTTTGTTAGCTTTACTTAAAGTTGGAATACCTAAGATTTTTGCATTAAAATATCCCAAAATCACAAGGCCAGTGTTGTATATTTAGTTAAGATGATAACTTACAATATTCCAAATGTTTCAAACAATGTTTATATCGCGAGAAATTTGAGATTTGAACCAAGGAAACGGGGCGTGTGAGCAGGAGTGAGCTGTGAGTTGCCAGTCAATCTTAAGAATTTTTAGAAACTTGGCTGTATCTTAGAAAACGACATTTATCTGAAAAGTGTTTCAACCGTCCCGACTCTCCCCTAACATCTGTGATAACTAATTTACTTTTAAACCTTACTTTTCTTGAGGTTATTTCAGTTTAATGAAAAACAAGCATGTCATTAAACGCAACAGTAATAGAAATCAAACTTTACCTCATCCATGACAACTAATTTTCGATTCCCGTCTGACTGATTTATTGAAAACAACAGTTCCCATCATTCCACGTTCCTCCACGGCGTCATCAAGCAAAGCCGTTGTTGTTGTTTTGAATGTAGCGCCCTCTAGCGGCATAAAATCTTAGGTATTGCACCTTTAATGTCCAATAATTTGTTGAACTGACTTAAAATTTCTTAGTAATCTGTATTGTTTGCATGCTATGCCTTCGTTACTCAGAAAAACCTTGTAAACGTTACTTGGACTGGTTTGAGTACCATTTAATATAACGTGTGGCGCATCGCTGAGCAATGCAAGACGAGCATTTGTGGTTAAAAAGTATGCAAGGATATTACGTTTTTTTTTTTTTTTTAGAAAATGGCCAATCGTTTCGCTAGATAAGACCCTTATTCCTCGGCTGGGATTGTGTAGAGCCCTTTGAAGCTGCATTGAAACTGCAAGTCCACAATGTGGAGAAAAACCCTGAATGTTTTCCTCAAAAAGAAAGACCGGAACATCTTGGATGACGTGGGAGTGAGTAAATAATCAGGAAATTCTAATTCTGAAGTAAACTAATCCTTTAGTGGAAGTGGAAAAGCTTATTGCAGTGCATTATGGGATTGGTTACAGTTGTCTAGAAATTGAGGCATGCGACTAGTGCAGAAAAAGTAGCTCTCAGACAATGGGCTCGTTTGGGAAACATGTCGGGAAACAATCATTATTTTATTCCATTTGTTTGTTGTCTCTAAAGTGGGAAACTTTTATTTTAGCTTTAATGATCTGATCATGATCAGTCCTCGTCACAGCTCACAGTCATTAAACTCTTCAGTTGTGTGGAGTGTGGAGTGGTTTATTGCTCCGGCACAGAGGCTGATCGGTGTGTCCCGGCGGCAGTAAGAGTGCTCTTTCATCTCTTTAGGACGCGCTGCTCTAATAAGCTTTCAGAGTGGCCTTTTATCAGATGCCATGGATCAAGCCGCCTCTTGGTTTTGCTTTGAGTGTAACACTGAGCCAAACAAAGAACAGAAAACCGTGTTTACCTCAGCTCCCCTACCGCACCCCCTGACTCAATTTCTTTTGGGCAAGAAAAGATTTGTCTGTATTCTGTTTCCTTTTCTCCAGCTTTGGTCTGCTTTTCACAGCCAGTTGTTTACTCATCCTTTTGACTCACCAGGATAATCTTCTCCGTTCCTATCACAACATGTCCAGTGCCTGTACCTATCCCTAAACCTAACCTGAACCCATGTAGTTACCTTATCAATCAGTACTTTCTTAGGTAAGCGCACTATAAGTACATGAAGTACTTGTAAATCTATAGGCAGCTTTAAGAAATTGTATATAAAAAAGATTACATTATACAAAGCTGAATAAGTTTAGCTTTCCTTTCTTTTAGTTATTATTTTCGCAAAATGACTTAAATAAACAAATAAAATGTAAAAAGGATCGGCGCAATAAGCATAAGCTTCAGCCGACACATTTTTCGGTCAAGCATCTTTTCTTTTCTTTATGTTTTTATTATTGTTTATATTGTATTTTCACTTTTAGTTTCTATATTTGTTTGTAAATTTCTTTTTTAAGCTGACCGAAATAAAAATTATGAATTAAATTAATTAATTATAAAGTTCACGTACTGTAAAATATAATATTGTTTCAGTAATTTATCCTACTTTTCTAAATCAGTCAGTCATGTTAAAATCGACACACACTATTATAATGATGCCGTTATGTTCCTTTTATTCCAGGCTGTGTGGCTTACCTGATTATTTGTTTACATTCATTTATGATTTAAGCCTCATCTGAGATGAATAATTGCTGTAGTGTGGAGCGCTGTATTTTGGGAAGTCTGAAAAAAAAAATGCACGTCTTGAATAATTTATTTGTTTATTAAGACGGTGGAAAAGCTTTATTCAGGTGGAATTACAGTTCTGTAATTCTGTGCAGTTGTGCGTGAAGATGCTGATGCACCAAAAATGGCCGCACAAAAGAGGTTTGTTTGTTCTCCTTCCTAAAATTAGTGCACAAGGGTTTTTGCACTTGAGGAGCAATCTTAAAAATGTCTCAACCAACATTGAAAATCATTTACTCTCCCTCATGAATTCTGTATGACTTTGACACATTTTGAAGAATATCCTGGTCACTCTTTTTGCTTTAACTAATGTAAGTGAGCACTGGGGGTGTAAAGGACAAATCACCATAAAAGTAAACCACATAACTCATGTGCTATACCAAGTATTCTGATGTCATATGATGGCTTTAATTTACAAAATTTACAATGAGTTAGTTTCCCTTGGGCACAAGCATTTGAGAAGTGGCAATTGTGAACAAATCGTTTCCAATGACTCACAATACTGAATCCGACTGATCTTAATCTCAGCCCACAAACTCAGTATTCCGGTTTCCCTTGTGAAAAAGAAGTTACAGTTTAAAATACACTTTAAAATAATATATTTAAAGGTGCTATGTAACTTTTTTTTTTACTCTACTAAAGCATAAATATCATCATACTGTATGTTTGCAGCAGATATTTAGGAAACATGCAAAGTTCACATACCCGTTTCTCTGAAAAACACTTCTACAGCCAGTTATTATACTTATTATTTAACACGTTCTGTGTTGTCAGTCGGGTTTTGTTTTGTCTGTGTGATCTCGCCCACTGCCTGTGTTCACCTAATTGTATTTCAACACCCCGGGATGCCAGTTGGCATGAAATATAGCGTATCGCAGCCTTGGAAATGACCGAGCAGCAAAAAAACTGGTCAGACTTAGAGATTGCAGATTCCACACAACCGAAAAAGCCTCTGAACAAGACAAGAGTACATAAAACGCGGCTAAATCGACTCTTTAACTTACAGCTGTCTGTAATGGTGCGTTCACACCGGACGCGAATAGCGCGTCAGGCGCGAGAGATTTTAATGTTAAGTCAATGCAAATACGTGTTACGTGTGGAAAAATTCCTGCGGCGCGAATGAGGCGTAGAGTGGTAGACGCGAATACGCCTCATTCGCTCGTCAAGTCGAATTGAGTAGGGCATATAGATTTCTCGATATTAATCGATTCTCATTTTTACGAACCTATATCGATTCTTAAATCTCAAGAATCGATTAGTCATCCTGTGTCATTGAATGGGACATTGTATCGCGGCTGCGCACATCCAAAAAATCGCAATAATCTTTGTCCTTTGTTACTATTGATATGAAATAAAGTCTCAATTTTCAAATTACGTCCATTTTCTTTAGAAATTCAAAAACAGAAATAACGTTTTGTCGCTGTGACGTGAGATCGCTCTGGAGAAGCAGCAGCGCTGATCTCTCTTCCGGCTTAATAATACCAGTCACAGCGCCAAATAAACATGAATGAGCATCTGAAAGTGTGTTAAAGATAGAGTTCAACTTATCGAAATCCGTATCATGTCACATTGATTCGCTCAATCAGCGTTTCAACCGTGGAAAGACGTCAGTTAAACAGCTTGTAATCAACGTCATGTATCGTCATATTTACCTCAGAAAACCCACATCAACTCGTTAGTCAGCTAGAAAAAATAACTCCAGAGAGGAGCATTTTGCCAAATATATACACCATATTACATATGCATTATAATCTTAATGTCCAAATGTATATTTTAATAAATCTGGCAACTTTTATTGACAGCCACCATTTAAACGTTTATATTTCATATAATCTTCTTCTTATAAAAATAAATAAAAGTGTAATTTAAATGTTTGTATAGCTACAAAAAAATTAATTATTACCTTCATGTTAGGCTAATGAAGCCTACAACTAGACTCCCATAGTTTACAGCATTGTGATTTCCTTGAGAAAATGTATTGTAACTGTCTGATATCCAAAATAATCGATATTGAATCGAATCGGAATCGAATCGAATTGCAAGCTTGTGAATCGAAATCGAATCGAATTGTGAAATTTCATTAATCGTTACTGCTCATACTTGAGGTTAACAAACAATAGTGTTAACCTTTGAGCATAACTCTTGACAGTTCTCTCATTTTCAGTGAATTTGATCAGTCTGCCTCTCTTTCTCACATCTCCAGACTTTAACAACACTCCGACTCTAACTCTCTCTCTCACTTCCTGTGCCTCCAGCATTAAGATGGTGTTGATGTGGACCAGTGGAGACACTTTCAAGACAGGCTACTTCCTGTTGACTCAGGCTCCCATGCAGTTCTGGATCTGCGGCCTCCTTCAGGTGTGCGTGGACGTCGCTATTCTTTTCCAAGTGTACTATTACAGCCTCTACCCACAGAAACCCTCACACACCACACACACCACCAGCGCCAAGGCCCTATGAAGTCCTGCATGTGCTCAAATCTATATTACAATGTATATGCATACATACAAGATCTTTGTACAGGCTCCCCTAAAAGTATTTGGGTACTTAAGTCACACTTAAATATGTTTGAATGTCCTTGCATTAGAATATTAAAACATCAAACTATGATGCTAAAGCTTTTCTCACAATTTATCTTCTCATAAAATCAATAGCACCTTTTTTAAAAAAAATATATATTTTATGCAATGAAATGACATTCATACAGTTAGTGTTGCTTAAGTGTTCTGATTATTTTTGGTGCTACTGTAAAACTATTAGTAGAACCAACCTTTACATGCAATATCATAAAGACATGCAGTTGTATTTACACACCAGCCCATGCTGATGAAAACTTTTGCCTTACAGACTTTCGGAATAACCAGAAATGCATCTGACGTTAGATGGATGAATGTACAAAGCTTTTGTTATAAGAGATTGATACAGTTAGTGTAGTTTTATTTGGATAAGGTTTTACCTCAGTATGCAGTGAAGGCCAAATGAAGATCACAGGAAGTCTCTATTTGAACCAAAAAAAACCCCACTTAATAGTAGGTGACAGTCCTCATTCAATTCACAAATCTACAAGACTTGATGAAATGTATCCCCCCAAATGTTATTTTTAGAGTCAAAGATCATTTGCGTGCAATCATTTTAGTTACCATGACAAATTAGGAAAATACCAGATTCATATCCTGACCTTTGATCCTCTAAAGACTTTAACAATGTATTTGTGGCATTTTGGGGGTTAATTTTAATTAAAAAATTTTTTGTGTGTTTCTTCAAGTCAGTCATTTTCCAGTAATTTTTTTTTCTTATTATTATGTTTTGCTAATGCTTAAAAAAGCTTTTTTCCCCAGTTTTGTCTGACTTGAAAATTACAAAAATACTTGTAGGCAAATACTTTTTTAAGAACATTATTATTTTGCAGATTAGTACTGGTTCAGTAGTTATATTCCAGAATGTCACACGCTTTTGTTATAAGTGAGATGCTGCTTATAAATGTTATATAGTTAAACGGGTTTCATTGTTTAATAGGGAATAGTACACAATTCATGGCCTTTTGGCGTGATGTTTCCACTCTTGCTTTGTCCAAATGTCATGACATTATTTTTTGTCCAGATTCATTAATCACACAAAAAAACCATGAAAAAAATATCTATGATAAACTTTTTCCCAATTTTCCCTTTTTCCAAAAAAAAAAACCTTTTTATTGCTATTGCTGTTATTTATTTCTATTTTCTATCTTATTCTGTCTTTTTTTACCTGGTTGATTCTAAAATGTTTTTGACTTCAACTTCATTTAAATATATTGTTTCTCGTTGTGCTGTATTTTGATACTATAGCCGGTTTATATTATTTCGTTTTTGTATCTATATTGCCATTATTTTAAACTGTCTTCTTTTAAAGGTTATTGTTCTGTTAAACAGTTCTGTTCAGTCTCTTTCTAGCCAAATGTTCAGTTCGTGTTAGCATAGATACTGTTGGTCACTCAATGCAATGCAACTTTTATAGCGAGTTTTGTTAATAAACATTTTTTTTAAAAAGAGGGCTGTTTGAATTTTGCTATTTCATTTAAACTAATAGATGTTTAGTTCAAAGTAATTTAAAATATTTTGCCGTCAGGTTCCTCCAAATATCTATTTGCTGTTCCATTATCAAGCTATATTTTCAAAATGTTGATCCAAAAATCTCACAATTTTGTTGTGACATTAATGACAGTTTAAAAATCAAGTTTCTAATCAGGTGGTTGTGATGTATAATGATTTAAGCGTTATTGCTGTGAACATTTGAGCCCGTATTTATAAAATACAGGCATTGAACGAGTTTCATTCTAATGGAAACCTGAGTGTGCATTCATTATGGCTGTGGTCATTATAGTGCTGGCAGGTCTCTCAATGCTTTTATGAGCACAGGGTTCTCGGGGGAATCAATATAGATGTATCTACCACTGATCAATGTTATGAGGTCTTGACCTTCTGTCATACATTTAATCGCTTATAGGAATAGATCAGTTTGGACTCATTAAACACATCTCAGGAATATTTCAACACCCAACCGTGAGAATCTGACGGTATCAGTTGGTAATGCCATAAGGATTACTAAAATCATATACCATGGAACGTATCCTCATATTTTGAGACCAATTTCCTTTCTAATTAAAAATGACATATACAGTATATCCTAAAAAACAGCTATCACTCAAGACAATTTGAAAATAAGAAACCTTTATTCTTTTAAAGGGTATTTCACTGTGTTTATTACAACCGGCAGATCCTGAGACTATGGCATCTAAAAGCAGAATTATACAGAAATATGTTTAAATGTGTTTTCATAAACATAGTTATTGCAAACCAGGTATATAGTAACATAAATAAGTTTGATAGCCTGTTTTGAACAGTGTAACACAATGTATGCTCTTACATTGCAAAATGTAAAATGTGGATGCAAAATGTCAATCTTCACAGTCATACAGTTTTCACAGGTAGGAGCATCCATCTACCAGGTACACAAGCTTAAATAAAAATCAGTCATCCCTCACTCTCATGCCATTCCAAATCCATATGATGTTTTTTCTTCGGTGGAACAAAAAGGAGATGTTTAACTGAATGTTCATGCCGTTTTTTTTTCTATACAATTAAAGTGAATGGGGACAAACACAGTTGCTGCATATATAAAAGAGGCCAGCTATTACGAGCTGTGCCGGTAAACCTCACTTCCCTGACCTTAGAACATTTTTTGGGGCTGTTAGTTTTAAAATCCTTGTTAGCTAGCCTTTCTCCCATGCCGGTTAATGCTAGTTCGAATCCCACTTGTAGTGGTGCAAGTAGGACCAGTTACATTGGTGCCGTGACCCAGATGAGAGTGAGATTTCGGCGGGTGGTAAAAATTGGTGCCGTGACCCATATGAGAGCGAGATTTAGGTGGGTATTAAAAATTGGTGCCATGACCCATATGAGAGTGAGATTTCGGCGGGTGGTAAAAATGGGTGCCGTGACCCAGATGAGAGCGAGATTTAGGTGGGTATTAAAAATTGGTGCCGTGACCCAGATGAGAGTGAGATTTAGGCGGGTGGTAAAAATTGGTGCCGTGACCCATATGAGAGTGAGATTTAGGTGGGTATTAAAAATTGGTGCCGTGACCCATATGAGAGTGAGATTTAGGTGGGTATTAAAAATTGGTGCCGTGACCCATATGAGAGTGAGATTTCGGCGGGTGGTAAAAATTGGTGCCGTGACCCGGACGAGAGTGAGATTTCGGCGGGTGGTAAAAATTGGTGCCGTGACCCATATGAGAGTGAGATTTAGGCGGGTGGTAAAAATTGGTGCCGTGACCCAGATGAGAGTGAGATTTAGGCGGGTGGTAAAAATTTGTGCCGTGACCCAGATGAGAGTGAGATTTAGGCGGGTGGTAGACCTCACTCCTCTATGTTGTTTCGTGTTACTTATGTCAAACCTGGCATGACACATTTAATTCTGAGTCAAAAATGATATTTATTCGCTACTAAGTAGGGGGAAAATAGCTTACATTTTGCATCTTTTCCATCATATGGTGTTTTTTAAATTGTTTTTGGAATTTATAGACCCATTCACTTTCAACAGTTCCATTTGTGTTCCATGGAAGAAAGAAAGTCATGCATTTGGAACATGATGGGGAGTAAATGATGACAGGAAATTCATTTTAGGGTGAACTAACTCCTTTAAAGAATTGTGCTTTGGACAACAAACCTGTCTATTTTAATGTTCCTTTCCCAGTCTAGTATTGTCAAGTCACCTGCTCAAACAGGTACTATATATGGCCGCTCACCTGTAGTATGTCTTTGTACGTGAGTTTTTCCTTAAGTCTTAATTGTTTGCATTATGACTTTAGAAATCGCCTGACCTGTGGGACTCCTTGACTTGCCACAGCCACAGATCTGCGATGGTGCGCACTGACTGCAGCGGTCTCTGTGATTCCATGTAACGAACTGTCAGTGTCCTGTGAATCCTCACTGTTTTGGGACTTGGTGCTGTCTTGTGAATCGGGCTTGTGCCGCGTGGCCCGACACTGTTCCGCTTTTAGTTCCAGGTAGGAGCGTGAAAAAGTGTGAAATATGGATGTGACTGGGAATGCCATGAGCAGGATTCCACTCAGGATGCTGCTGAGTGCCACCACCTGGCCAGGAATGCTGCGTGGAACCATGTCGCCGTATCCAACTGTGGTCATGGAAATGACGGCCCACCAGTAGCTCCCAGGGATACTGGTAAACTCCTGCTTGGCGCCCAACTCGCTCTCGGCCAGAAAGACCAGAGGGGAGAACAGTGCCATGGCGACGCACAGGAACAGCAGCAGCAGTCCGAACTCTCGAGTGCATCTGCGTACGGTCAACCCCAGCGTCTGCAACCCCAAAGAGTGACGCGCTAAACGCATCACGTAGAAGATCCGCAGCGCTCGAAGAACTCGCAGGACCAGTCCCACTTTCTCCAGGTAGTTGTTTCCTGAGCCGGTCGGACGGTCGCCCACAGACAGGGAGTCCACTATCAAAGTGATGTAATAGGGCAGGATGGCCACCACGTCGATGATGTTGAGGGGTGTGCGCAAGAACACGCACTTGCTCTGTGTCTGGATGAAACGGAGCAGGAACTCCAGGGAGAACCAGCCCACACACACCGTTTCCAGCACAAAGATGTTGAAGCACCTCTGGGAGCACTCACCCTGATAGAGGAAACACAGGTTAGTTGAATTTCTCAAGTCATTTAGAGTCTTCGTTTGATGGTTGTTATGTCTCAATATATTGGATAAATATTATACTAGATAAATACATCCTAGTTTTCCTTCCATCACAGTATATTTGAAGGTGAAGTATTCTTCACCTAATCTTGCAATTGCGACTTTATATCTTGCAATTCTGACTTTATATCTTGCAATTCTGACTTTATATCACACAATTCTGACTTTATATTCCACAATTCTGACTTTATATCACACAATTCTGACTTTATATCACACAATTCTAACTTTATATCTTGCAATTCTGACTTTACATCTCGCAATTCGTATAAATAGTCAAGATGTAAACTCGCAATTGTGAGAAAAAAAGTCAGAATTGTGAGACAAAAAGTCGCAATTACCTTTTTTATTTTTCATTCTGTGACGGAAACAAGCTTCCATAGATATGTACATTCCTACTGGGACTTTTTTAAAATACAAAAACGACAAACACATGCAAAACTCAAAAAATTGGAACAAATGAAAAAAAAAATGGAAGCCTATAGGAATGGGTGCAAAATCTTGTCCAATCAGGCCAAAAACAAATTGACAAACGAGATTTATGTTCTAAAAAGCTGTTTTATGCCAGCGACCCTGTGTTAGTGTGGAAAGGCCTGAAAGAAATTCCAAACTACAAGACATTGTCCCCCAATTACGTAGGGAATCAACAACTGGCCGACAGCCTGAATGATTATTGCAGATTTGAAAATCCCAGTCTCTCATCACTTCACACCAACTCTGATGGTCTATTTGCACATCCATCAACACCTCCAGCAACCCCTCCACCTCCTGCATTTCAGATCAGTGAAGAGAATGTGCATTGGGTCTTCAGGAAACAGAAGACCCAGACAGTGTATCCCAGCAGCCGGTCTGAAAATCTGTGCTGTCCAGCTGGACTTCATCTTCTCTCAGATCTTCAACAGATCACTGGAGCTGTGCGACATCCCTTCCTACTTCAAACACTCCACCATCATCCCCATCCCCCCAAATAACGGGACTTAATGATTACAATCCTGTCAATCTCATGGTCATAAAGTCATTTAAAAGACTGGTGCTGGCCCACCTAAAGGACATCACAGGACCTTTGTTGGACCCCTGCAGTTTGCTCATCGGCCATATCGGTCAGTGGATGATGCAGTCAACATAGGACTGCATTATATCCCGCAACATCTGGACAAACAAGGGATGCTGTTTGTGGACCTCAGCTCGGCCTTCAACACTATCATCTCAGACTAAGGCCCTGTTTACAACCTTCATTAAGATGCGTTTTGGTTGATCGGTACACAAGTGGACACATCCCAGTTTACATCTGGTATTTTAATCTGTTTCTTTTGTCCACTTTCAACCACTTCTATCCTGATTTCTTTGAGGGAAGTTTTTTCCAGTTCTTTTGATCTAATGGACAAAATAAGCTTTTGCAATTTACATATTTAGTTTCTTCTCAGACAGCCGCAAGACCATGGCGAATGCGGTGAGTAAACATCGAGAATGAGAAAACATCATCCTTGGTATGTTTTTAGTCTTCAAACCAAACTTGGGTCTTTAGTCGCCAAAGTTTAAATCCAGTCAGGCTAGCGCACTTCGCATAATGATTACACGTTAGGTCAATAGGCGGAGAGTCTTTAGTGGCTGTTCGAACGCATTCAACCACATGAGCGTTTGCACTAAGAAAGCAATCCATTCAATCAAATCCGATCAACCAAAACGCATCTTAGTCCAGCTCTCTGTTCCTACAGGAGCTCTGTTTGTCAGTGGATCATCAGCTTTCTGACAGATAGGCAACAGCTAGTGAGACGAGGGAAATTCACATCCGACACCTGCACAATCAGTTATGGTGCCTCGCAGGGATGTGTGCTTTCCCCACTGCTCTTCCCCCTGTACACGAACAAAACAGCTGGCAATCTGGTGCAGTCATTACAACCTGGAGCTCAACATGCTCAAAACAGTGGAGATGATTGTGGCCTCCACCCCAGCATTACCCCACTCACCATCATGAAGAGCCATTTAGGTTGCTGGGCTCTATACCATCTCTCAGGACCTGAAGTGGGACAATCATATTTGCTGTATTGCAAAAAAGGCCCAGCTGACCTCTGCACTTCCATAGCTGTCTGGTTTGGTCGGTTACATAACGACTTTCGCTAGATAAGACCCTTATTCATCGTTTGGAAGCGTTTAAAGCCATTTGAAGCTGCACTGAAACTCTCATTTGGACCTTGAACCGTTTGGACCCCATTGAAGTCCATTATATGGAGCGGAATCCTGGAATGTGTTCATCAAAAACCTTAATTTCTTTTCGACTGAAGAAAGAATGACATGGACATCTTGGATGACATGGGGGTGAGTACATTTTCAGAAAAAAGTTAGAAATGCATATGCCACATGTGGGACCAACCCTTTCCTATTTAATAACTTATTCATATGTTATGACTGACACGTATACTGCAAACTGGTGAGTATATCAAACTGACATTTCTGCTTAATGGGCATGTCAAGAATTACTCAGTAGACCTCAAAGTCATACATGAGCTGTTTGACGCATGATGCTGTTTCTGAGGGAACAGACTTGTACAATTCTGCAGGCCATGTTTAATTACAAATTACTCTAAGGAAAAAAAAAACGCACCCACTCTGAAGCCCTGATTGAAATGTATTAATGAGCTTCATCCAGACAAATATGTTTTCCCGTCACAGATCAGGCAGGCAGTTAGAAAACTATTTCTAATTTATAAAAGGTTTCATTTTTCCTTACTAGCCCAGCATGATCCCCAGCTTCCTCTGAAACAATCAGGCTTTGCATGGAGTTAATGAACTGCATTAATATTTAAAGGTATAATTAAATGTGATTATTGCCTGATAATGAAAAGAGTTGATGAAGAAGATGTTTTAGTTGTTATTCGTGGAGTTTATCTTAAGGTAAAATAAATAGTTTAAATTTGCCATATTTACTCCCCCAATATTACATTTTCTCGGGAACACAAAATGAGATTTTTAGCAGAACGTCCATGTTGCTTGTTTCCATAAAATGAAAGTGAATAATTGGATATTTCAAGTACTAAAATTGACCAAAAAAATGAAAGCATGATGAAAGTGGTCCATCTGACTATATTTCAAGTCTTCTAAGGCCCTATGATGGCTTTGAGTGGCGATCAGACTGAAATTTGAGTAAAAAAACAAATCCTAAAAAAAAAGTCAAAGAAAGTTTGGAGGGCCAAGGGGGTTGGTTAAAATAAATTATGACAATATTTATTTTGTGGGCAAACTATAGATAAACTATAGATAGAACAATAAGTAAAAATATGCGAGCAAAAACTTTAAAAAACATTAATACAATTTCACATATGGAATTGAGGTTACTCTCCTTAACAGGCAGAGAAAGCAATACTCGGTACACAATACACAATGGCACATCTGATTGATCATATATATATGAATGTCATTTTGAGTAGAAAATGAACTCCAAATGTCACAAAATGGCAAGTTACAAATCCTAACAACAAAAGCAATGATGAAACATTGTAAATACAGCTGGAAAAGGTAAAAAATCAAGGCACAGTGCATTATGGGAACACCAGGATCAGAAAAGTTAAGTAATTTTACTTAATTTTTATAATGTTGATATACACTTTTAATTCTACATGCACTAATTTACTTTGTTTTTTAAATTCTCACCTGAACTAACTTTTTCATGTAGAAATTACAGGTTTTTTTCCTAGAATTTACTTCACCACAAAATCATTTTTATCAGTGGCAAGGCATGGGTTTACTGTCCGTAATATGTGCGTGTATGTAGGGGAATGTTCTCATATAAACAGAAGTGCTTCTCCAGGCACATTTGGCACGTAATTTGGAAACAGAAATCTGTAATTCATTGTTTATATGTGTTTCATATATTTTCCATTTGTATTCACAGGCTATGAAATTAATTGTACATTGTGTTTTGTGCAAAGAGTTTAGTTTGTTCCTGTAGTGTTAAATGAAATATGTGTGTGTGTGGCCTAGATAACCCTACATTATGGGGATAAATTGTCCGCACAAAGATGGATATATCCGAAATCCTTGTCCTTGTGGGTACTTTTTTTCCCATGAGGAAAACATAAAAATGCGGAAAGTTTTCTCTGATCTGTAGAGGGATAGGGATACAGTATAAAATCATTACGTGCATGGAAAGTCCACATAAAACATTTTTTGGTCGGGAAGTTCGGTCTGGACTCGATCCATTATGATCGGTTCAGAAATTGCCGGGCCAATCAAATTGCCAGGGTGATGAACAGATGATATGTAGTTACGTCATCACGTTATCAAAGAGTGCTTGGGTTGAACTGGTTTCCCTCAAAGTTCACTGCAGCTGGAGAATTGAGATATATAGATTCGCTATCAAGTCTGTTGTAAAATAAATCGACAGCGCATTCATTTTAAAAGGCGAACAAAGAAATGCATTCATCATTGTTGATCGGAAAGATGTGTTTGGTGCTGTTTGATGTGGTTGCGTAACTGTTCTCAGGATGAAATGACTTCTGTCCATCATCACCTTTTTATTTCCTTCTAAATCGGGCAGCAATTCGGCAATCATCTTTGACTTTCTCTCCTTCTCTCAGTCAGGGTCAAATGTTTCCAGTGCTCTCCTGTCTGAGAGTGTGTGAGCACGTCTGAGTGCTTCAGCTGGATTTTGGTGCTCCAATCCAACAGTACATAATTGGCCTTCCCTATAGTTGCTGACAGCTTTGTTATCTGATGAGTGACGGGAGTAAATTTGTCATTTAGGTTTAATGATAATCTCAATATTTTTTCATTTTCACCTTACCTTACTTGTGTCATTCTGTCAATATTCATTTAAAATCGTATGAGATCAAAATGTTTTGTGAGACCTGTCCCCCTTTCTCCCACTGGACCCTCTAGCTCTTTCCCAGCAGCTGCTAGACATCATAACTCAAGGTCAAGTACTCTGTTCGATGCTAAATAGACTGACAACTTTAATATCGCCCTCTTCTCTTTGTCAGAGCTTGCTCAGGATCTCAGAGGGGCATTTGAGCTGATGGATGGGACCAGTTGACTGTTGTATAAAGGTGTGTGTGAGTGCAAAATCGTTATTTTTATCAATAACTGTTTCAGTCTTAAAGGGATAGTTCACTTTGAAATACATTTTTGATATGTTTTAGCTTACCTCAAGGGCATCCAAGATGTATGCGTCTTTGTTTCCTCAGTATTTTCAATTTTTACACTTTTCGGTCAAACCGTTGTTGATATTCAGTCATATAATGCAAAGAGCATGCACAGAGAAGTCCAAATTAAACATGATTTAATGACTTGTAAATGTACACATTGACGGCCTAAGACACGAAACGAGTGGTTTGTGTGAGAAAACGAACAGTATTTAGATTGTTTTTACTTCGTGTAACCACAGCCCTTGAGGTAAGCTAAAACAAATCAAAAATTAATTTCAAAGTGAACTATCCCTTTAAAGTCTCACTGTAGTGAATAATTGTATCCCTTAAAACTCACTTTGAACACCTAAATGACATATTTAAATGTTTTCTTTTCCTGTGAAAAAATGTCTCTATGCCTTAAAATAGCTTGAATGTAACTCTACACTCTTGCTTCATTTAGCATATGCGGATTCATGAATATGCAAATTAGCCCATCCTCCACTCACCAGCTCACAGATTCACTCGGCCAACTTACTGAGGTAAACGCTGCACAACGGTATTTCTCTTTACAATGTCGGCCGGACACATAACAGTATGATGATTAATTCAATTAATATGATTAGCCTCTTCTTGACTATTTTATCAAACAGCTAATGATGTGTTGCTAACGTTACACGAACCATGTTCCTGTTCGCCATCTCAGTCAGACAGCTGTCTAACAATCATCACAGACGCCTTGAATATTAATTTAGAACGTCAGTGGAGAAAGGCAATATATTTCGTAATATATATCATAAACCAGCTATATTGTAAAATGTACCCGATTGTTCAATAGAAAAATATAGCCTATCAACTGGCTTCTCTTGAGGCTTTTTAATGACATGCTACAGCCTGGCATGTTGATGTGATTCGAGTTCATGTAATTCAGATTCGTGTGAGTTCATGTAATTTCCAATGAAAAGTATATTAAATGTTACATGCGTTTAAATAAATGTGTAATTGCATATTTAAACATACAGTTAAACACCACAGTTTAAATTATAGTCAAGTACTTTAATGCTATTCAACACACTGAAATAAGTGCACTTCTTTAAAGCATGACAACATGATTTAAAATGCACCTTAAAGTAAAATTTCAAAGTGTACGTCAGTGTTAAAAATATTGTCATGAAAGTATACTTTTCTTTAAGTGCCCTTTTATTTCATTAATATTATATTATCTGCAAATACAGTATAAAAAAACCCTTTTAAGATGTGAAGTACACTGTGCACTTCTGTTTGACAAGGGCCACAGCATCTGTGAAATAATCATTTATCGTCGTCTTCTGTGCGAGAAAAGCAACTCGCAGAACTCATCAAGTGTTTTCTCTTTTCAGTCTGTCTCCGAGCTGCTCAACTAATTCTCTAATTGAGGCATTTTAGTGCATCACAAACTCATTATAGATAACAGCAGGTTTCCTCAGAGGCCACTGATAATGTGTCTAGTGTGATAATGTAATTGTTTGCTGTTGTATAATGTATGAATTGAGAGTTAGGTCAGGCTTTGAGTTGAGTTTGTACACTTATTGTGACAGTAATGTAGCACTTGAGGCTATAGTATTAGACGCCACACAAATGGACAGTTCCTAGGGCTGCTCTCCTTTGACATGATTTCAAAGTGCACTTTTATCCAAAAGGATAGGTTTTTATTTTTAAGATTTGAATTACACTAAGTGCACATTCAACACAATTAAAGGCACACTATGCAGTTTACATTTTTCTCAAACAGTGACCCCTAGAGTCACCGTGGAGTACTTGTATTTAACGTTACTGTTGTAAATACCACTCACAAAAAGCCGTCGGTTTTCGGTTCCTTGACTTTCCATGATTCACGTCTGAAATGCGTGCTATTGTCTTCCATAAAGGCTGCTTCATATGTTGTTGATGTATGTGACGTCGTGCCGTAAAGCAATTTAGATATGGATAAAATGCTACCACAAGGATAGCATATCAGATATCTTTGACTTTGTGGGGATATTTTTTGGTCCTAATGAGAAAATCAGCTTATATTGTGATTTTTTTTTTTAATTTATTTATTTATTTTTTTTTATTTTTTTTTGAAGGTATAGACCATTTTGCAAGATGTAAACAACACTGGTACAGAAGCACTTCCTATTTCAGTTTTTTAACACTACATAAAAGCTGGGATAAAATACAACCAACAGAACATGTACAACTGAATCAAAAAGTTAAACAAACATCTTTAAGATTTTTTCTTTCCATGTGAAATAAAGAAAACAGTTACAAACTGAAACAGGACCAGTGTTGTTTACATCTTACAAAATGGTCTACAAAAATGGAACATAGAAACCCAAAGTGTGTGCATGTGTTTCCTGGTAAATCCTATACATTATGGGGACAAAAATGTCCTCACAAAGATGGCAATCTCAGAAATCCTTGTCCTTGTGTGGACATTTTTTCCATGAGGAAAACAACATATAAATCATATATAGTTTGCACAGTATAAAAATCATTATGTCTATATTGAAAGTCCCCTAAAACATGAAAACATGGTCACTGTATATGGATGTGTTCACATGGAAATTCATTTGTCGGTTTCAGTGTGTGTGTCTGTGTAAGCGGAGGGTTAAGGAGCCGAATTCATTGCTGGCAGTGATTGATTGTCTCTTTGAAGATAAAGAGCTCCCTGGATTCCTCCTGCTGTTCTTCAGTGTGGCCCTTTGATTGTGGAAGACACCTCTCTCTCTCTCTCTCTCTGTCTCTCTCTCTCTCTCTCTGTCTCTCTCTGTCTCTCTCTCTCTCTCTCTCTCTCTCTCTCTCCGCTTCAATTTCCATCGTCTTTATTGATGTCATTCGGAGGTCTGTGCTCCAGTACACAAACACTCATAACTTGGAATGATTTAGAAGTGCTAGGACAAGCCCTGGGAATATGATTAGGAATATGATTATTATTATTATATATATATATATGATTATTATCGTTTTTGAGTTTTTCCTTAAACTCTTATTACATCTAATGTCAATATTATCACTAATAGTCAAGGCATTTCAGATAATAGGCTCGTACAACTGGGGATATTACACGTCTTGGCTTGATTAGCACATTATAAAAGAGTGTATTTGAGATAATATATGACTAATTCTGTTCTACTGTTAAATTTTTAATGAGTTTAATGAGTTCACATTTACATATAATCAGGCTGCTGTCCGAGGGGAGGGCTCCACCCATTGTTGGGGTAGTGGAGGGATGCAGCAAACTGTCGTGGGACAGAGGTAATTCTGCTGTATGTATACCTCCTGTCACGCTAATTGAGTTGATTAACTGAGTGTGCTCCTCCTGTGCTAATAAGGATGATTATCTGAGCATGATCCTCCCGAACTTTGTTAATAAAGCGTCATTTAATATTAAAGCTGCTTAGGAAAATAAGCTCCTTGGGATACAGACCAAAAAGCAAAGATAAAAAACTTTGGATGAATGTGTGCTGGGAAGAGATTTTGGAATATAATAGCATACTATATATAAAAGCAACAGAAGTCTCCATCACGATATAAGCTCTAAAGTCCTAATGTGGCATTGCATGCTACTTGCATGCTGCAAGAAAAACTAAGAACCACAAGCTGAGTGAAAAATGGATGAAGTGGGAGAATCAAATACTGTAAATGTATTTAATACGCTCATACAAATTCTAGTACTATTGATACTGTAAAAAAGTTTGTTGTGTGTTGGATTTAGATGAAATTTCAAAAGTGTCACAGTTTACACTAATACACAAAACTTCCAACACATTCTCATCCTATTTCTTCTAAATCCAACGCATAGCATCCTTTAGCGTCATTATGAGGCGCATAGAGCTTTGTTCGGTTATGGTAGGTTCAGGTTTAGTGGTAGGTTTATGGTTACACCACTAGGAGGCGCCTTCTGGCCCATATATATCTGCGTCTCATATTGACGCTAAAGGGTGCCATGTGCTTTGGATGTAGACGAAATGTCGAAAGCGTCAGTATATGAATCCTTGGGATGAGAACGGGCTGGAACTGTATATAGTTTGAGGACAAACTATACAAACTGGATTTTGTCCTAGAAAGCTTATGAAATTTGACAAAACCTCCCTATTCTGGGACAGTCTAAACTATTAAATGTTTTATAAATAAAGAAATGCTGTTGTTTAGCACTCTAAAATTTCGTTTAGGGTCTCGGCTAGTCCCTGAAAGTGACAAAAAACTCTCATTGGAGATGTCTTCAATTGCTAAACTGATTCGTAAATAAAGAAAACACTGTTGTTTAAAAGTCTGAAATGTTAGTGTTTTAGGGGTTGATTTGGTCAATAGTAATTAATTAACTTTAAACAATAGAAGTCTCAGAGATGTCCTCAGGAATGCAATGAAACAAAGTTGTGTGAATGAGTGTTGGTGTGTGTGAGTGACTGAGTAAGCACATGTGTGCTAGTGATAGAGGAACAGCTGCCAGGCTTTTACAATAGTTCTGTGGTATATGGCTAATTTGGTATTCATGAGATCGGGCCCTGGACTTGAGATGCTGTCCCCCAGGCTGTCATGACTGTTTCTGTCAAAAGAAAAAAAAAAAAATCCTCCTACAGTACACAGTTTAGCTACTGAGACTCACTCTCACACACACACAGCTTACACAAACATCATATCTGAATTGTTTACAGAGAAAATGATTCACATCATCAATTGCAGAGATGAAGGAGAACTCAGTTTTTGTCAAAGGCCAAACTGATGGTTGGTTTTATGCCCAGAGGTGTTTTAAGTGACTATACTCTCTCAAATATCATTAACTTTGGACTTTATTAAAAAAAAGTTTTCTGCAGTTTTGCTCCTGTTCATGCAAGTCTGCATCAAACTTTGATTTTGTATAATTATCTTCAGTTTAACGTTTAAAAGGATAGTTCACCCATTAATGAACATCCAGGCATCATGCCATCCCAAATCCATTTGGTTTTCTTTCTTGCATAGAACAATAAATTAGACATTTTAAAGAATATACTGGTTATTCATTTTCCAAGCAATTAATCAGTATTGGAGCTTTCAACCATAAAAAAGTGTAATAAAAGCCATTTTAATATATAATCTGTCTTTATGGCAGATTAATTAACTTCTGTTTAGACTTTTCACCATCCAAAAACCAGTCAAAACTCATTCAAACTTCTAGGAAGACTCCTGAAACTAACCATGTGTGACTAAAAGACAGAAACTATAAGTGAGGGGGCATATCTGTTTTGCACCGTCTATGTTAATGCAACCCACACTTTTGGATATTCAAAATTTCATTCCTTAGCCACACACACACACACACACACACACACACAAACGTACTGTCAGACCGCTGATACTGCCTGGTAATTAGGTAATTACATACCAGAACAATCTTTTTCACAATCCTTTTTTAAAAGTCTTGTTTCATAGTAAAAAAAAAAAAAAACATATGTCACTTAAGAAGAAAAAATGAATAAGACCCCACACTGACCCAATTTAGACATTTAAAAGGTATAGCCAGATATTAACATTCTTTCATCATTTACTCACCCTCATGCTGTCCCAGATGCAAATGACTTTTTTCTGATGAAGATTTTTTGAAATAATAATCCATCTTTTTGAGTCCATAGTGCATGGGACCTCCTAATTTGATGCTTTAAAAAACACACACACCTCCACTCAACTGTCGAATGCAATATATATATATATGAAGAGTTCAGATGCAAAAGCTTCTAAGTGCCATTTGAAATTTTCTTCTAGAATGATCATTTTTATCAAGCTTGTATATTTAAGTTCAGTAATTTCACTTAAATGGCAATTCATACGTAATCTTCATTGTCATTTAAGTGAAATTACTGAACATAAATTTATAAGCTTGATAAAAATGATCATTTTAGAAGAAAATTTCAAATGGCACTTAGAGGCTTTTGCATCTGAACTCTTCATATATATATACACATAGACACAACGCATCCCAAGGCGTCATATACTGACACTTTTGCCAATGTGTAGACATCTAACACACATGGCACCCTTTAGTGTCAATATAACACGCTTCGGTTATGGGTAGTGTTAGAGTTAGACCACTAGGAGGCGCGTTCTGGCCCATATATATCTGCGTCTCATATTGACGCAAAAGGGTGCCATGTGCATTGTATACGCATTGGCAAAAGTGTCAGTATATGATGAGAATGGCTCACATATATATATATATATATATATATATATATATATATATGCACACATAGTAGCTATAATTTAGCTTTAGAAGACATTGTTTCGCAAACCAGGGACGTATAAATTAGTCATGTTCACTTTGTATGTTTTTTGAAGCCTTAACTTTGAGGGATCTATTCACTTGCATTATATAGACCCTTTTACTGTTTGTACACAATGATGACATGGCTATGTATGCGCGCACATTGGCAACGGAAGTATGACGAGAATCAGCAGTGTGTCAAGCTACGCGAGCGGAAGCAACACAGACAGAGAAAGTTATTTCAAAAAGTTAACTTTATCAAATGTTATCCGGCTACCAGATCCGTGTACAGAAGACGTTAGCAGATGGCCAAATATACAGTGGCGAGTTGAGAAACCGAGTCGAGTCGTGAGCAAATGATGAAAGAATTTGTAGGTTGAGTATCCCTTTAAGCCACCCTTAAAAAAAAAAATCTATACAGTATGTGTTCCCTGAAAATATTTTTAAGGATGTTTAGATAACTGGAAAACTAGACCGAAATACTGACTCACACAAGCCCTAGTCTGGATCATGTAAGTGTCCACTCACCCTCTCCTCCTCCTCCCGCATGTCAGGCATGGTGCTGACACACAGCGTAACAGCCGTGATGGCCACAAACACCACCGAGAGGCAGGCAAAGATCTTCCCGGGAATCCCAGAGTGAGGGTTCTCCACCATGTCTCGGAGGCTGTGCATGCACCCCGCCAAACGCCCCTCCTCTGGGACCCCGGCACCCGGCGCCTCCTCATACGACTGGGGTGAGGTCAGCTCCACCTCTTCCTCCTCCTGTCGGATTCTCTGCCGCTGCTCCTCCTGCCGAAGACGCAGTTTTCTCAAGCAACACCACTCCAGACTGGCCTCCTCCACACCCCAGTACAGCAGCTCCTCCTGAAAGGACAGCGCGCACATCTCCCGCAGAAGGCGGAGTTTCCCGGCCGCCAGGAACGTGACGATGGAGCGGAAGGCGCTGGGGCTTCGGTCGAAGAAGAACTCATTGCAGTGCGCGTCGTAGTCGTCACACAGGTCGAGGATTTCCTCCGCATTGCTGCAGCTACGTAACTTCCCCAGGCGCGTCAGTGGGAACTCCTCAAGAGTGGACCATGGGATGCGATAACGGATGCCGCCCACATTGATGATGGCAGTGCGGTCAGCTAAAACACCCTCGTCGGCTCCAGCCCCTCGATCCCGGCGAACCTCGTCCTCCTTGCGCTGAATTTGCACGCGTTTGTAGAACACACCCTTTTTGCTGCTGATTTCATGGGGGTTCTCCAAAGTTTTAAAGTGGAAGGAGGTAAACTGATGATCAGTGCTGCCTGCTAGGAAAGCCACCTCTTGGTACATCTCTGCCGCGTGGCTGTGCAGGTCGTACACTCCACGAACACACAGTCTACCAGGTCACGGTGGGCATCATGCCGGAGCTTTGAGAGATAAAAGAGGCAGATATTAATAATGAAGACGTCCCAAGGGTCCGAGCACAACGGGCACAACACAAAAGATTCTTTGGTCAAGATATATCCAAAACACACCGGGAAAAAAAGCACTTTTTCTTCGTTAGCTGCATCCAGATATCCCTATTAATTGTCTGCGAATGTCCACCAGATGATGCAAAACAAGCTGAAGATTGGACATTGGTTTTTAAATTCCCACCCATGGACAGTCGGAGTGACGGAAAGGAAGGAAATGCATTATGGGTATTTTTGGTTTTCTCTTTGTCATGTAGCACATATTTAAATTAAATAAATGTGTTTCTACTGCCATCCAAGCTTTGATGACTCTTTCAGTATTTCATTTGTTTAAACGTTTTCCCTGAATGTCTGAGTTAGAAACATTTGCGTTGTAGGCCTACTGCACAGCATTTTCACCCCTTGTCCCACGTGTCGCATATTGAGGAAATGTCCCGCATTTTCATCAGTCTATTGGTTTTTAATTATCATATTAAGAAAACGTGCATGCGTTCCTTTGCCTTTTTAAGAAAGCATTTTATTTATTATTTTGCAGCGTAGGTTTTCACGTATATTTAACAGCGTGCAGCTACGACAGCCATTTTTTTTAATATCTTATCCAATGGTTGAAAAGAAAGGAGTAAACACGGTCCCTAGTAGGTTATACTAAAAATACTCAGGTTTTCAAGCATCACAATATATATATTCATACTAATATATTCGTCGTCTTGTCTCCAAATACATCACATTTTCCTGACTAATTTTGCTTTTTTTTTTTTCCAAACATCAGTGAATATAGATTCTTCCATCAGTCCCATGGCTTTGGAAGTCGTAATTGCTCACGAGTCTCGGGATGCAGTAAAATTCACGTCACAACACAAGTTGAATCCCAAAGCAGAGGAATTAATTATGATGTTTTCTTTTCTATTCATGGGTAAGTTCCTAAATGAGCCATGTTCTCTACACAATGGCAGGGTAAGGTCCAATGCGCTCAAATGAACATTGGGTATAATTAGTGCAACTGCAGTAAGAGATTTATGAAACAGACCTTCTCACGCCAGAGGATTCAATCTGTAATTCTGGGGGAAAGCCATCGGTCTCACAAAGGCTAGTTAAATTAAAGCATGATTTATATTTATAAGGAATCTCAGACTGTTGTCTCCCTCGTTATATTTATTAAGACGTCAGAAATGAATAATGAAAGGTGGTGCTATCATAGTGAATATTACGGCAGCAGGCAGAATTTTAAAGCTCGCTTAAATCAAAGTTTTTATTTCAAGCCCAATTTTAAATATTATAAATGAAATCTCCTCTAAGTTATGATATAAGAAGCAATTAAAGAAACTTCCGAACATCGTACATGACACAGCTTCAGTCTCATCTGGGCTGTAATTTTATTTTTCAACATGTTGCCTGAGCACAGAGGCCTCTGTCAATCCAAATGAATCAGTGTCTAACTGAGACATGCCATGTGTTACCGCTCAATCCATGACTCAATAAATGACCCAGCATTTCCTGCATGAAGCTCATACTGTGAATGAGCTCAAACTGCACATAATGTGCCAGTTGAAGTAGGCACCGAGGCATTTAGAAAAATGCAAACGAGGCCAGTGTTGCCAACTTAGCGCCTTTTCAGACCCCTTTAGCGACATTTTTTTCAAAAAGCGACTAACGACAAATTTAGCGACTTTTGGACAAACCTAGTAACCTCCAAATGTTGCCATACTCTCAACTCTCAACATACTCTAACTCTCTCAATTCAGATAATGTTCCACATAGGCCTATAAAAAAATGTAATAATTCACTATATTATAGGCCTAGTTAAAGTTACTCGTTCTCACTGTAAAAATTAATGCTTTATCTAATCAAAACAATTGTGGCAAAAGATTACAAGCAATATTATTAATTAAATTTAACAAATTAGATTTGAGTAATAATTAATTAAAAGTTAACCATTTAAAAAGAGTAAAGAGAAAATGTAACAATTACAGTAAATCAGTAAATGTGTAACACAGAACAGATAACGGGATGTCTTTTCAACGGTCATTAATTGTTAAGCAGCTTTGCCATCACAGCAATAAAATATAAAATGCATTTTAAAATGTATTACAATTTACAAAGTATTAACATTTTGCAATGTTACTGTTTTTACTGTCTTTTTCGATCAACCTAATGTAGAGACTTTAAAAAAAACAAAAAAAAAACATTTAAAGCATCTTACAAACCCTGCATTTTTTTTACAGATCTATTGTAATGTACAATATAAAAACATGCACAAGAGGAGTGAAAACATAAAACATTTAGATGAAAATCCCTAAAGGCAAAGAGTGTAAGAGGGAGTTCAGACTGAGACAGTGTGGGCAGAGCTGTATGTCTGCTAGTTCTTTCTTTCTTTTCTTTCCCTTTCCAGTCTATTTCTTTAGTCCTGTGGGTCTGTATTGAAGTAAGAAGGAGGTTTTGAAGCTGGTCTGTGTGAACGATGGTTAAAGACCTTGGAGCCCCCCCACTCTCCCCAAATTATATACAATCCCGGAAATCGAGTGAGTAAGAGCCTGTTTTCAACTTTTCTGTGATCCGATCACAAGTGGTCAGACAAGAAGCACCTGGTATTATCACGAGTTTCAAATGACCATACTTTTTTCATAACACTCAACTATACATCACTTTCACTTTCGGCGCACATATGCTACTGAATGAATGAACCTGTGTTGGGAGACTTCTGCAAATAATAAGTAACCACTAGATAAAAAAATAACCACTAGATAACTGTATAGCCCTAGAAGTAGATTCATTATAATTTTCTTTTGTAAAAACTGCTCAACAGAGGCCCCCGATCAGGTAGGCCCCTAGACTGGAGACTGTCATCACAATTAGCAATCGCCACAGATCCATTCTAAGATGCCTGTAACATTGTGAACTACTTGATCAAGGTCCCCGTATGTTAAAGCACAGCCACACAAACTCTCCAGCAGCACAGACAGACAGCTGAGGTCCTATGGGGTGGTGCGAGATGAAAAGGAACGGCCTGTATGAGTGATGGTGCTGATGATGAGTATTGCAGTGCTGTGCTGTGTGTGTGTCTCCCGTGGAAGATGAAATTCAATAGTGCTGATGGGGAGATTTCTGCTACGGCACTTTGAGGTACAGACAGTATAAGGCACTCATGAATCAATATGAGGGATTTGTGCTTGTTCTTAATAGGTGACGACGTTATTCACGCCGCTGCGCTGTAAAACGAATGAAAAGACAATAAGTGGATTGTTTTTTTGTCAGTTTTATGTCTCCTCCAGTGAAGGGTTATGCTGCTAGCTATAGGCAACCCTTAAAGTTTATGATAAAACCGCAAGTCCTCTCATTCAACAAAACATAACACAAAAACATATTATTCATTTAAAAAATAAAAATAATATTAAGAATTTTAACATGATGCTTTTATACAAAACAAACTATGTTTATTTATTTATTTATTTATTTTATCAGTTATTTACCTGGGAATGGAACCTATGACCAAAGTGGTTCTAGAGACAGGAGCAGGATATATATAACATAGCTTGGAAAATAAATGAAGAAGAAAAGATGTGCACATCATACTTAGAGTCAATTCAGACACTAAAAATGTATTAATTTAAATGACTCTCTGCTGGATAACTGTGACAGCTCTGTTTCATTTCTAATTAAGGGGTCATTTCTCTCAGCAGTGTAGTAATACATACAAAACTGTCAGATCCTCAGTATTAAAAACACATTTATGAATGAATTTAAGTTCGACAGAAAACCAAGAGACTGTCAAGAAGTTTTAAGTGACAAGAAAAAGTAAGTATAGCCTTCTTATTATCTTTCAATACTTTAATACACACTTATGCATGTCACAGGTTAACTATTTTAAATTATTTTCAAACAGACATTATTAAAATACTGTTAATAGCCATTGTACCAAATGTACTTTAACTCATGAGTTAGATAGTAATGTGTCACCAACTCAACCAAATGATAAATAAAACCTATATCCAAAGAATTTATACTATCCATTCCAATTTCCACCAAAATAAACATGTTAATTAGCCAATGTCACTTCAATAATAGGTCATGACGTGCCTATCACCTCTCTTTTCTTTATCAAACACACATCGCAATGCATTCCAGTTGTCCACAACCATCTAAGTTTTCTTTTTTCTAACTTGTATTTGCTTAGTCATTTATAATATAAGCTAACAGTGATATTTATGAATAAATAGGCCTATATGAACATTTAAGTTTCATGGCAACCCTTAAATGTACAAATTTGGAAAGCATTACAATCATACTAAAATATTATAGAGTGGCCGTCTTTTATAAAAATTATCTAATCATTTTGTTTTGCAACAGCTGATGTGAAATGGATTCATCAATGAGCTGGTAAAATGAAGCCATGTTTTTATTAAATATAGCGTAAATTTAATATAAATTCTCAGTTATGTAACTTTATAGTTTGACATCATGATTTGCCTGAAATCACAAACTCCTCTATTCCGTGTAATAATATCATCTATAGAGAAAAAGAGGAGTGTAATATTAATAAATACTAATGAAACGCAGATATGAATTATAGATTTTGTATTCAAACCAAGCGATTTCCAAACATAGCGGTTTGGAAGTCAGAAGAGCACCGCGCAAGCTTTGGATATTTGCAGTGCTTTATTGACCTGATATTGCGATAACGAACGCAGAAACAAACATACAAGAGCCGGAGACTTATTGCAAACAAATACAAACTCGAAAAAAATACAAAATGAACAGTCGACTTACCCGTTTTAAGCCCATTGATTTTTCGCTGCCCAGCTCATTTTCAGCTTGGACGTGTAAGTTGTGCTGCGATGCATTTGCACATTTAGGCTACTTTTATTCCTTCATCCGTATTGCTGGATGATTTGGTTCCAGCATCAGACTGACTCCAGCTCATAGCTCCTTCACAACTGCTAAAGTTGTTCCTCAGTCTTCGTGTCAGAACACTGGATCTGTTAATGGGTGTTACTGCTGCTCTCACGCGCACACTCGAGTCCCCATCTCAACCCGAGTCTGCTTGCTTAGTAATAACAGAGCACTACCATGCAGAAATACGTTAAAACACTCTCTCTCCCTCTCTAATTGTACTAATTAAGTTATCCCCATTATAACCCAGCTCATTTGCGCGTGAACGTGGACGGGATGTAGAGGAGCTCTTTCCATTTATCAAAACGTTAGCCTAGATATTTAACTTTTTGTCATTCGTTTTGCATTAGACACACATCGTGTCTCATTGGTGTAGCAGTTCTCATGGGCGTGTGTTAATTCATCAATAAATAGAAGCATAATCATAGGCTATTAATATACATTTTATGAATAATAACAAAAATATAATCTAGATAATATTGAAATACAGGGTGTTAAACATTACCTGTAAATTTGTAAAATTTAAAATGTTGGAAGAGCAAAAATATTTAAGTTGAACAAATAGCATGCTTGGGAATAGTTAAGAAGACAAATTATATTTGTCTATATATTTGTCTATTATAAACTAACCCTAACCCTAAGTCTGCAAAAATATATTTGAAAAAAAAAATTAATGAATAAAATTAATGAATTTTTTTTTTCATTAATTAAAAAAAAAAAAAAAATTATGATATTTTCAAATCCAGGGCTAATGTTGAATGGACTAATAAACACAAATCTAGCCAATTTTTGCTAAAAGTATAAAGCCAGCTATGCTATACAATATTTGAATGTGTAAAACAGAACATATTTGTTGTTAAAATGAACATTTATAATATTTAATAAACTAGATATAATATCAAAACAACATTTTGTCAACAAATTGTCGAGGTTTTGTTTCTGCAGTGGATGGATGCAGTGAACACTTTAAAACATTGATTTTGTAAATCTTGAATTCAAGCCGTCTATTTGTGGCAGTAAACACAAAATAAAAGCATGGATACATTTATAGATAATAGAAGGATCTGGATTTAATGGAGCAAATTATGTGCCAAAATTAAACAAACAAATTCACCATTTTGCAAACAAAATCGATCTGCTTTGCAAAGGAAAACTCGACTCGCAAACAAACAGAAAACCATTTGTAAAGGTCAATTTGAGCGAAAATGCAGTGGAGAAACCAATATTGTGTTTTACAAATATAACTAAATGATCCATGATAATATTCCACAAATAAAAACAAACCATGTAACCGTTGAACAAATACAGTGCATTCAAATGCATATCTGTCTGTTATGCAGATGAGTAACTTCCTCTTCTAAAACAGTAGATGGCGCTAAAATAGGTGATGCATTGGGGGAAAATGCATTGCTTTTCAACTGAGGGAACCCATGCGCCGCTAGCTTCCGAGTTGTCCTACAAAGTGACGTCATCACTTCGAGCGCATGAATGAACTCGACAATCGAGTACTATCGGCTTCGACCGAAAACAGGAAGCAAATACAGGTATGTGAGCTGGCTAAATTAACATCATTTTCAGACTGATCTCATGAAATGGCGTATGTATGACACCCCAATTCGTATTTCCATTTTTGGCGTGCTATCAACACGCATAATCGCTTTTCAGAGTGTTTAAGAACGCCGCTGACTTAACGTTACATTACTGTATAAACATGACCTAACGTTACCCCAACCCTAAACCTACCCGTCACTGGGGTTAATAGCATTTATGAGTCTTCCCCTACCATCCTAGGAAAAAATATCGCTCCCTAGATCTACATTTTGCTTCGTTTCGCTTGGACAGTTAACGTTAATGGTGTGTACTATATAAAGTTAACAGTTACACGCGGAATCACTCGGACATTTAACGGCGTGGACATGTAAGTTCCACATACACGCGGATATCTCAAAATGCGTAGATAACACGCCACTTGACTTGAAAGTGGTGTGTATGTTTACGCAAAAGTCATGATGTAATTTTTTTTATTTATATCAGTTCTCCTTTAAAGTCTATGCCAAAAGACCATTTTGCGAGATGTAAACAACACTGGTCCAGAAACACTTCCTGTTTCAGTTTTTTAACACTACATAAACCTTGGGATAAAATATAACCAACAAACAGAACATATACAACTGAATCAAAAAGTTAAACAAACATTACTAAGATGTTTTCTTTACATTTGAAATAAAGAAACCATTTACAAACTGAAACAGGAAGTGTTTCTGGACAGTGTTGTTTACATCTTGCAGAATGGTCTATAACGCACGTTTAGCTTACAGAACGTGGTATATTACCTCGTTTGATTTCTAAAACATGTAAAATGTACTACTATAATGTGTAATAGCTTTAATTTCGTGATGTTTTATATTTCCATAACGTGAAGACATAATGAAGAGAGCACGGTCTTTCTCAAATCATTTTAGCCTAATGTCATGTTAGGCCTAAGTTACTGAGTTATTGAAATCTTTGATACGTGTAATGTTAAACATAATACAACTTAAGCATGATGAATAAGGTTAGATTGTGTGAACTTTTGCAATTGGCCCGTGAAGAGACAGACATAAACCTGATTATATAATGGTCCAGCCACGATAAAATAATGGCACTCATTTTGAAAGATGGCATTTCAAAAGACATTATCAGAGGGTATAAATTATAATTATAAATTTCATATGCAAGTGTGTCTATAGGAATTATGACAATTCTTTTAGAAGCACATTTGTGAGGTCAGGCACTGATGTTAGACCTGGATAACAGTTTCTTATTCATCCCAAAGGTGTTTGAGGTCAGGACTCTGTGCAGGCCAGTCAAGTTCCTCCACACCAAACTCTTCATCCATGCCTTTATGGACCTGCTTCGTCATGTTGGAACAGGAAGGTACCAAGGTAAGGGCAGCCGTCTCCCGATTAAATATGCAGTGAACAGTATGTGTGTGTGTATATATATATATATATATATGAAGAGTTCAGATGCAAAAGCCTCTAAGTGCCATTTGACGTGGCCTCCTAGGGTAGCGAAGCATGTGCATTCTGGGAGTTGTTGTCTTTCATCCACATAAGGCAAAAATACATTTTCTGGCTTTTCTCAGTCTAGAAAGCTCCAAATTCAAAACTAATTTCAAATTTTTTAGACATAAATGACCCATTTTAAATACACCTTCATCTTCCCAGATGTGAAATATCCCTTTAAGGTCTCAATCGAAACGTTGTATTGACTTACGTGCTGTATTGAATTTTGACTTGTATCCATTCGGCTATAGATTATTTGAGAATAACCTGGGAAGAGACCATTTTAAATGGTTTTAAAACATCCCTTTAATGACAGACACAAAGGCACAATTAATAAACATTTGGCTCCTGCAATGCACTTAAAGAATGAAATAACGATTCCCATGACCAGCTCAGAAGAAACTGTATTTCCTGTTTACAATCATGTTGCTTTGCTCTGAGAGAAATCAAAATTAACAATGTATCAGGAGAGGTTTGTAATTAAGGCGGAGAGCTGATGTGTAGACTGTAGAAACATGTCTGTGTGTCAGATGCTCAGCATCATATTGCTCATTATTGTTTTCTGCACACCAAACAAACTCTGAACATTATGTAAATCATCTGAGTTTAATGAGCGCGAGCTAGTTGTATGTTTTAATTGTGAAGTCGAAAGTTGTCTGTTCTCTCTTGTATCTGCAAAGAGGATGTTATGTGACCATACAAATTTTTGATGAGAATTGGATGGTCTATAAATTTTTCATTGTTTTTGTATGCAAGTTTAAAGTCTTCAAAGTGACTCAACAGCCATTCTAAAATTAAATTAAATTTGGGCAGAAAGATCAAGTCTGTCATTTGTTCAGAATCACTAACCATCATCCTTGTGAGCTTACAGTGACTTCTGATTTAGTCATTTCTGTTTTTCTTCCTGCACGAACCTACGCAGGTAACAAATTTGCATAATACCAATGGTCTTCATTAGATGCCCGCGAATAACGTCTACTTTGACCGTAGTTGCAGTTGAGGCCTGGAAGAGTTTGATTTGTGTTGTTGACAGGTCGAGAAGACGCTGTTTTCTGTGCCGCAAAAAAAAAGCAAATCCACTTTGCATGAGCTTCCAAAGGATAAAACCAACGCCATTGTTACACTTTCTATCACTGTGTATACAAATACTGAGGAAGCCTCCGGAGCTGAATTTCAGATATGTTTTGTAGTATATAAAGTTTTATAGTATAGTTTTGTAGTATTTAAAGTTTTATAGTATAGTTTTGTAGTATATAAAGTTTTATAGTATAGTTTTGTAGTATATAAAGTTTTATAGTATAGTTTTGTAGTATATAAAGTTTTATAGTTTTGTAGTATTTAAAGTTTTATAGTATAGTTTTGTAGTATATCAAGTTTTATAGTTTTGTAGTATATAAAGTTTTTATAGTTTAGTTTTGTAGTATATAAAGTTTTATAGTTTTGTAGGATTTAAAGTTTTATAGTATAGTATTGTAGTATATCAAGTTTTATAGTTTTGTAGTATATAAAGTTTTTATAGTTTAGTTTTGTAGTATATAAAGTTTTTTATAGTTTTGTAGGATTTAAAGTTTTATAGTATAGTTTTGTAGTATATGAAGTTTTATAGTAAAGTTTTGTAGTATATAAAGTTTTGTAGTATTTAAAGTTTTATAGTATAGATTTGTAGTATTTAAAGTTTTATAGTATAGATTTGTAGTATTTAAAGTTTTATAGTATAGTTTTGTAGTATTTAAATTTTTTATAGTATAGTTTTGTAGTATGTCTAGTTTGTAGTATTTAAAGATTTATAGTATAGTTTTGTAGTATTTAAAGTTTTATAGTAAAGTTTTGTAGTATATAAAGTTTTGTAGTATTTAAAGTTTTATAGTATAGTTTTGTAGTATATAAAGTTTTATAGTATAGTTTTGTAGTATTTAAAGTTTTATAGTATAGTTTTGTAGTATTTAAAGTTTTATAGTATAGTTTTGTAGTATGTAAAGTTTTATAGTATAGTTTTGTAGTATATAAAGTTTTATAGTATAGTTTTGTAGGATTTAAAGTTTTATAGTATAGTTTTGTAGGATTTAAAGTTTTATAGCATAGTTTTGTAGGATTTAAAGTTTTATAGTATAGTTTTGTAGGATTTATAGTTTTGTAATATATAAAGTTTTATAGTATAGTTTTGTAGTAGTTTAAAGTTTTATATATAGTTTGTAGGATTTAAAGTTTTATAGTATAGTTTTGTAGGATTTAAAGTTTTATAGTATAGTTTTGTAGGATTTAAAGTTTTACAGTATAGTTTTGTAGTATATAAAGTTTTATAGT